TGGGTGGGTGGGGAGAGATTAACCCAAGAATTTATATGTATATATGAATAACCCATGGACTCTGACAATAGTGTAGTGAGGGGAGGGGTGCAAGGTGGAGTGGATCAATGGGGGAAAAAGAGGGACATCTGTAATACTTTCAACAATAAATTTTTTTTTAAAAAAGAAACACCAACTGGTTTTCCCCTAACAATGTATGTTTAATTGCTCAGTCTCTTATTGATATCCTTATGTTTGTTTTCAGGGGACTTCAACAGAGACAGTGAATTTATTTGTGTTCCCTGTTTTCTATGTCCAAATACCTAGGGACATACAGTGAGATGCTAATTTAGCATAGTACTTTCAACATTTTTGATAAAATGTGCATAGATAAACATTTTATATGTTAATACCTATAATTAGTAAACACACCTTTAAATAGGCATCATTTCAAGCACTGCCTTTCTGGTCAAGGTACAGCCAGGCCTGAGGAAGCAGCCTCCCATTTCCCAGGTAGAAACACCTCTCAGGACAGAGAAACACTAAGAGGCTGGTGGAAAACGTGAGGATGCTGTTAAATGCATAAGTGATTATCAAGCATCTTGTGACCAGCACGTGAGGGGCTGTTTAAGTAGGAACAATTTAGTTCTAAACATGGAACCCAGGTACTAGTAGAAGAACGTAGGTCTACTTACAGATGCAATTAGATAACCTAATAAAAAATTTATAAAAGTAGGCTCTTGTCTTCTTGTTACAGCCTAATAGAGGAACTGGTTCTACGGCTTTGTTTGATGTCTGAATTAAACACCAGGTCTTAAGAGCAGGTTTGTGAGAACTGGTTCTTAAATAGTAAGAGCTGGACTGTGCTGGAGGCATGTTTTTCAAAAGTAACCTAACCCTTGCCTTGAATTGAATATACACAAGGTGAGTGAATCAAAATATTTCATATACTTGGGCTGCCTTCACACTCAATCCAACTATGACTCAGGCAGTGAGCCCCATCAGTTGTTAGAAATGATGTAATATAAGCCAAATAATTTGTCATGTGACTGCACCTCACCTACTATTTTTAGGGAAATGGGCATACCCCTTTCTCCCTTGTAGCTTTATTTCCAGGCATTCCTTGTCATCATACAAGCCCAAGTCCTGTAACACCTCCTCCCTAGGAGCATAACAAAGGATGCTAATGATGTGAAAAAGTTGAGAGTAAACAGAGAGCACTTTCTGACCAGCTGAAAATACAGTAAAACCCTGGAGCAGATTAGACTTGGGTTGGATTATAAAGAAAAGGAAGCCTGCCTCCTGTTTACATGTGGAAAAGTTATGGGATGGAGACGGGTAGGTAGGTAGACAAGTAGGCAGATGAGCTGGCGAGCTGGATCTCGATATATCATGAGACGGAATCATTTAATTCTCTACACATGGCTTCGGACTGAGTTTTGTGTGTCTTCGCGCGCATTGCATGTTTACGTGTGTATGTGAAAGGGAAGGAGGAAGGGGGCAGGGAAACATGCCACAGGCCCTGCCCCCCCGAAGGGATGATTTTAGTTTCCTCACCTCTTGGGCAAAAATATAAAGGTGAAGACAAAACACAGAATAAACATACAGAACTGCTGAAGAGATGAGTACATTTAGGAATGCGTATTATGTGCTTAAATACAGCTCCTCATGTGGGCCTTAGCAGCAGCAGAGCGTCATATAGGAAAGGAGGGACTGACTTTGGTCGGGTTATACTGGAGGTCAGGTCTTCAGCAGAAAACTAAATGGAAAAGTAAGCAAATTATACAGGTAATTTAGTAAAAGTGTGATAATTGACATAACCACTTCTTTTAATTCATTAATCTAGATAATTTAAAATTTTTCTGCTTGTCATTAGACAGGCACCCAGAGTTTGAGAACAGGAATGACATGATTAAGTGAGTAAGTGGAGAGCAGAGGAGAAACCTGCGCTGACATTTCTTTTCTAATTGTTTCCTCCTTTTCAACACGATGGAGATTCCTGTCCCAGCTGCCCACATCCCAGGCTGTGCCACGTGGGCACTGAGAGGCCTCCTCGCTGAAGCCTCCTTTCTGCAGCTGTTTTCCCTGAAGGGGGGCAGGCGAGCTTGTATGAGTCTCGAAAATAGGGCACAACAGTCAGCAGGTGCTGGTGTCAGCAGGGGCCCTGCCTGGCTGGCTTCCCTGCCGAGGATCAGGCCATGCTGAGCTGTGTGTGTGTGTATTTCAAAATAAAGTCTCTTGGCTTTAGCTAGATTTGATTTCAACTTCTCAGTGAGACTGTATTTTCATGGAAAATCAACAAGAACTTTTCACAATTCTTTCTGGCCAGGAGAATGGATCAGGCTGCTCCTACATTCTTTGGGATCGGAAAAATTATTTGAGTTTCTCTTGAGTCCTGAGCTAACCCTTTTCTCCTAAATCTCATTGACCTTGATTAAAATATAATGTTTCATAATGACAATCCAGTAGTATGGAATCTCTTTATGCCTGAGCATCTATGATTATGTTTTATTCATAAGTATCTTTTTTTTTTTTTTTTTGGCAGATCTTGCCTCAGGCTTATTTGTACGAACAGCACAGGAGGGCACCAGTCCCATGCAGACAGCGGCCCAGAGGACACACCAGTCCTTCCAGCCCCATGTCGGCAGACAGAGGCCTCTACTCTGGAGCATTCATGGGGGCCTGGGCACCTTTGGGAGCCTGAGCCGCAGCTGCAGCCAGAGCCTGGGGCTTAGTTTGAGCCTTGGCCTTGGATTTTGGCCAGCAGAGCCTCAGACCCTTGGTGATGCAGACATGAGCACGTGTCCTAAGCTTGGGGTGAGCCATGTAGACAAGTCGAATGAGCTTGTGGCTGCCCGCCTTTGAGATCTTGGGCTTGACCTTGGCACGTGCGCTCATGGCCTTGGCTTTGTTGGCCTGCATCTTCTTCAGGCCCTTCTTGTGCTTCTTGGCAAAGCGCATGTTCCTCTGCAACTTGGGGTCCACTCCCTTAAGAGGATTGTATCTTTATGATGGGAGTTTCTTGATGCCATTTCTGTGCCATTTTCGGGACTGGTTGTATCTGGTAGATTGTTTGCTTCCATTTCATTTAGCTCTTCTTCTGGGAAGTTCTCCTCTTCTTTCTTTTGGTGCCTGTTTCTTTGTCTCCCCATTTCGGCTGCCTCTTTGTGTTTGTTTCTATGTATTAGATAAAGCTGCTATGATTCCCAGTCTTCATGGGGTGGCCTTATGTAGAAGGTGTCCTGTGGGGTCCGGTGGTGCAGTCTCTTTGATCACCTGAACTGGGTGCTCCAGCAGGAGTGGAGAGAGACTTCTAGCTTCAGCTCAGTCACTTAGAGACTGAATAGCTTTTGATTAACTTTATTAACTTTTCTCAGTCTCACATTTTTTTAAAATTTATTATTTCTTATTATTGACAATATTACAGATGTCTACCATTTCTCCCCTTTGCCCCCTCCACCAAGCTCCCACCCCACCCCAGGCCTTCACCACACTATTGTCTGTGTCCATGGGCTATGCATATATGCATATATCTAAACTGGGGGAAATACTACTCATCATATGGGATTTGAGGTTACTAGTGAGTAAAAAAACATTGAAAGCTCTAAATTCATGTTGACATCACCATTACCATCATCATCATCACCATCCATCACCATCATAACCACCATCGTTATTATTATTATCACTAACATCCATCATAATCATCACCATCATCCATCATGATAACACCATCGTCATTACCATCACCATCATCACCACCACTACCATCACCACCATCACCACCATCATCACCATCATCACGAACATCATCATCGTCATCACAATCATCATCACCATCATCCATCATGACAACACCATCGTCATTACCATCACAACCATCATCACCGTCACCACCATTACCATCACCACCATCATCATCATCACAATCATCATCACCATCATCCATCATGATAACACCATCACCATCACCACTATCACCACCACCACCATCACCACCACCACCACCATCACCACCACCACCACCATCACCACCACCACCACCACCACCATCACCATCACCACTATCACCACCACCACCACCATCACCACCACCACCATCACCATCACCACTACCACTATCACCACCACCACCATCACCATCACCACCACCATCACCATCACCACCACCACCACCACCATCACCATCACTCTTGTCCTCACCATTGTTGTTCTATAGCATAGTGTTTATGGTGTTGCCTCTGGGCTCAAGTTACCTGTATTCAAATGTTGACTAGTTGTGTGACATATAGGGCAAGTTATATAATTTTCTTTCTTTAATTTCTTCATTTTTGAAATAAGTTGTACTAATAATGTCTATAACTTTAAGGTATTATGAGTATTTAATGAGATGACAGATACACTGTTTGAAAATGGGCCTGTCTCATTGCGTGCACCCAGTAAATCTTAGTTATTGATATTATTCTAGCTCGTCTCTCATGCTACATAGTTCTCAAAATTTGTATGGTCCATCTGTGTACCTCCTGCAGGAATGAATGCTTAGCACAGAGTAGATTCTCAAAAAGTTAAATAAATACTTGATGTTTGGTTGTAAAAATAAGTTAATGAATGGATAAAAGAAAACATAGCACACACTGAGTTTTAAACTAATGCCTCTTCAAAATGTTTGCAACTTTTAAGGCTGATCATCAGAACTGTAGACGGTCAGGGATAGTAGAAAACATGGAGGTTCAAAAGTATCTACACTTGGGAAAGTTTTAGATCTGCACAAGCATGCGTTATAGAGTGACCTTTGGACAGACAAATGGAAACTCAAAAAACTTTAAGGAATTACTCAAGACCAAAGAGCAGCAGCACATGGATGAAGATGCTTGGGTGAAGACTGGCATTTTAAACTCTGCTTCCTTTATTTCCAAGTTTGGCTTTGGTCAGATTTCTGTCTATTTCCAGTATGGTAGAAAATTGATTAAATTCTAGAATACTAAACAAAATATACATTTGCAAATGTTCTCATTTCCAATTCCTGTTTCTAGAAACCATGATCCTGAAGGGTAGCAGAATGTACCACCCCAAAATCTATCACTTTGGTTCACCGATGATTTCCAGCTTTAGGCATTTGAAAAACAGAAAATGCAGACAGAGACTTTCTCTGAATCAGTGTTCGTATTTACTGGGTTCCCAAAGGTACTAAGAGGCTTTTCAATGAGAGTGCCTACCAACTGTACAGACTAAATACTTGTTAAATTGATGAATGAGCGTGCTTTACATGTAATAATGGATAGTAGTTAGAGGGTCCTATGGGTTGGCTGTCTTTTTTGCTTTGTGACTTCATTGCACATCAAAGTTCAGATATAACTTGGGAGAGTTTGAAGGACAGGAAGTATCTCCTCCCACATGTGACATCACAGTGCCTGAGGACAGGGAATCAGGATGCGGGTGTGTGTCCCTTTTACACAGACAGGTTGGATTCAAATCCTAGATTTGTAAAACTTTTTATAAAGAAACAAAATTCCTTATTCCAACTCTCTTATTTTACAGAGTTTGAAAACTGAGGCTCTGAAAAGCTTAGTGGTTAAATATCTGAAGGCAGAACTTCATTTAAACACACTAGGAGATTTCAATATTAAAAGAACTTCCCTGGCTCCTGTGGTTCTGTGGTCAGAGCCTCAGCCCAAGCGCTCAAGGGTCTCGGGTTTGATTCCCAGCCAAGGGGACATTCCCGGGTTGCAGGTTGGATCTCTGTCCCCGGTTGGGGGAGTGCCCGAGGCAACCAGTTCAGGTATCTGTACCTCTCTCACATCCCTGTCTCTTTCCCTCTCTCTTTCTCTCCCCGGCCCTCCCTCCCTTCTACTCTCTGAAGAGCAATGGAAAAGATGTCCTCAGGTGAAGATTAACAACAACAACAAAGTACAGCTCTTATGTATAACCTTGAATCTGCAGAAAGTAGTTTATCAGCAAAACATTTCTCTGCTGAAATGGAACAAGTATGTCCGGCTGAAACAAGAGAATGTGATTCCATGCACATCACTGACACATTCATACCACTGACTGGGCTGCTCTTTTTTTAAAAAAGTGAGGCTAGTGGAGACTTTAAGAACTTCCCACTGCAATAGCAAAATCAGTAAGTGAACAATAATGTGAGTGCTGACGTTTATATTCTCACGGGAGGGTACGCTTATGGATAGAGAGGGGCGGGGGGAGACACCACCGGCCCCCCGGGGCGCAGGGCCTGGGACCGCGGCTGCCACCTTTTGGTTACCGGAGCGCTCCAGCCGCCTCAGCTCCGCGCGCTCCAGGGGCTGCTTGCAAAGGGTGCTCAATTGAAACGTCATTACCGAGGGGTTGGTGCTGGTGCAGCGTAGATGCCAAAGAAGGAAGGAGTTAGTGTGAGCATTAGAAAATCGAGTAAAGAAAAGTGTGAAATATCAGTTCTATTATCTGTTTATTACAAGGCGCTTGAGACTGGTCCCTGTTCCGCAGGACGGAGCCGACCGCCCGGGTGCTGCGGGGGCTTCCTCCCCGGGGGGCGGTCCC